ACGGTAGTACCTTATACCTTGATCATACGCCTATTCAAACGGATTGTCGAACACTTCTTCAAGCGCGGAGACCCTTTAACCACAAATATAACGCCCTTGACTAGTCTTACACCCTAATAATGACACACCCTAGTTCCAGCAAACCTTAAAAGGCACAAGTAGCTGAAATGACACTGTGAGATCGCCTACTTCCACTGTGTCGCGATGTACCCTCCCTTTCAAAAAAAAAGAAGAGCGTCGGGTGCAGACCATACACCACAAGTGACGACGGCCTCCAAGTAAATCTGGTTAGTTGGTTCATAGTGATAGCTGATTTTGGTAAATGATAGTTGTAATTAGTGACAACTGATAGAATACAACTGCAACAGGCTAATCATTTCATTGGCAGAAAACATTTACATTTTGTGGAGGCCGTCGTCACTTGTGGTGTATGGTCTGCACCCGACGCTCTTCTCGTTTTTTTTTTGAAAGAAAAGCGTGATGTATACGAGATTGGGGTAAAGGACTCAAAATGAACTAAAAAATATACTTTTAGAACAACTTTTCCATAAAAATCAAATATAGTACAATAACGGGCGCGCCCCCTCCTATCTCTGTCCCTCCCCCTTCAGGTAACTGTTGGTTGGATCAATTTTTCATTTATTGTGTAGTCCTTCTCAATGAATCACATTCTACTAATTTTCCACTTTCATAATGTTATACCTATTGTGAAATTGTTCGTTCTAATCGTAAAATTTATATGATTTTATTATGCTGTAACATAGTCGTAAATAAAAGTAAATTAAATAAACAAGCTGACCTCGAGCCGGATATGAAGCATCGGAAAAGCGTTTCACCAGACCGAACTCTGAGCCCCTAATCCGATCGAACGCTCGTTTGTCTTTACGGAAGCCAGAAGTCTGCGATTGATAGTCGTCGAAGCTCGCTCTTACGTAAGCTTCACAGTCCGAATTCAGCGCGTGCTATTCTGTCGAATGCACGCTTTCGTCGGAAGCCGAAATCGGCCATGTCAAGTCTGAAAGTCAGCTCACAATAAGGAAATCTCTGTAGAAAAAAAGAACTTCCTAACTACTGTAACTTGGCCATCAGTGTGACTGGATGCCCTGATTACGAAAATGACATTCTTCTTCGACACTAGCGTTGTTCAACGCATATTTCCCGATCCAACAAGTGGGCGCGGGTACACGTCAGGAGGTCCGTCGCGCGGCAACAAGGCAGAGTCAGCGGACGAGTCGCAGCGCGTACTGTAATGATTTCGCGTCAAGTTAAATAGAATGTGCCATTGTACGTCCTACATCGCACATCACGCGCTGCGACTCGAGTGCTGACTCTGCCTTCTTAGCCGCGCAACGGGCCTCCTGTTGGGTACCCGGGAGGGCGCAGACGAGCGAAAAATAGGCGCCATTTGGCGCCAGCGCCAAGAATTAGTATCGTATTCGTAATCAGGACACCGAGTATCCCTACAAGAACACAAAATTTGGTGTAAACAAGTGTCGCAACAAGATGAAGCCGATTGGGACGTTGGCTAGGGCGTATCTACCGGAAATTAGGGTAACAGTGAAATGTGAAGAGGCTCCAGTAGCCTTGGTAATCTATTGGTAAATGTTTTGCTCCATTTCTCCATGCCAAACATCTTTTTGTTTTCAGATGAACTAATAGACGAACTGGCGATAGCGATCGCCGCAATGGGCCGTGCTTCTCCTGTCGCAGAGCCTGTGAGGCCTTCCGTAGACGAAGAAAAGTAGACCGCATTTATATGCATGTAGAGATAGTCGCGCTTTCAGCGCCTCTGTTAAAAGAAGCAGCGCCCCTCGGCGCTGATTCTCCTGTCCATATCAGTTCGGACGCGCCTCAGCGTCTCTTCTGTGAATCTCACAACTTCCCCAAGTATTCCAGTCATTCTCGTCGATGATCTCCATTTTCTGTGTCATTGTGTTTTCGCCCTCTTTCGGTGACCAATCTATCGCTAATTAATTAAATTCCGATTGTACTGGACGAAAGTGTGCCATTACGGTCGCATTGTATGAGTATGTTTGAAGTAGTTCGTGGTACTGAATATCACGTCATACGTACTGATAAAGCTTCGTTGTTGTTATGAGTTGGAAAACATTGAATCTCGGGCAGTGAGCGCAAGCACACCAAATTAGGGAGACGGTCAAGAGTCCCCCGCGACCGCCGCGCCAAAACTAGGTCACCGCGCGCGACGTCGCCGGCGTTTTTGCAGTTTGAAACATGGCAATTTGCCAAGTTTAGGACCCCTCTCTAGACGATCGATACAACGCTTTTTGTTCCGTCTGTGTAGGCCCCATTTCTGCATTTGTTTAGCTTAGTCCTAGCAAATTGCCACGTTTCAAACTGCAAGGACCTGGATACGGTAGCCGCCGCGTGCGGTGACCTCCTTTCGCTTGCGCGGCGACGTCGGGGGACTCTTGTCTCGCATCTCCAAATCAGTGCTCCAGCTAGTGTAGTGTTGAAGGGTGAAAATGGAATTCGAGGGGGCCATTTCATTATGCTCTGCGGTTCTAACGATAAGCCAAGATAAGGAAAACCATACATTGGTAATGGAGTGTTCATAGTTGGCGATCGTACGTGCGATTAGGCGATCAGGCGAGTAGTCGATTAGGCGAGTAGGCGAGTAGGCGATAAGGGAAGGATACGTATTGATTTGTTGCTCCGCCCATTGAGCGATCGCCTAATCGCCTAATCGCCTACTCGCCTAATCGCCTACTCGCCTACTCGCCTACAACGCTCTATGGGCGGAGCAAACCAATCAATACGTATGTAGTCTTCCCGCCTAATCGCCTAATCGCCTAATCGCACGTAAGATCACCAACTATGAACCCTCCATAACACGCTGTAAAGCACACATTGAATGTAATCTATTGACGTGACCGGTGAAATGTCCTAGGCGCTCCTCTCCTTAAGAGGACATTTCGAACAGGACGTTTGAAAATCGCTTGTAGGTGAAACTTTGATTAAGCGCAGGAAAGGGGAGAAACACCAGAGAGAACAGATCTTGCTCACGTCCTCCCCCAACACTTTTCCCCTCCTTGAGGCTCAGTCCCAAGTTCCGTAAGCGGTTCACTCACTTCAGTGTTTCCCCTAACGACATGAGCGCCATCTCATACACTATAGACATCATTCCATTTTTTTGCCCAATATCCGGCAGGAGACCCGTCGCGCAGCGCAAAGGTAGAGACGCAGACGGATCAGCGGAAGAGTTGCACCGCGTGCTATGTGATGTGGACGTACCAAAGTACATTCTGTTCAATTTGACGCCAAGTAGTCACGCGCTGTGACTCATCCGTTGGCCCGTCTGTGTCTCCGCCTTTGAAGCAATCATGAGCTAATTGTAAGAGGCATCCGACGGGCCTCCTGTCACATGCCTTTTGGTTTATGCAATTCCACCCCAATTCAGCCGTTCCTTTTCAAAAAAAAATTTTTTTGAATGAAGTTGTCATGGAAGCTATTTTCCTTATTGCTGTCAATGCCATTATTGTGGTACTTATCTTTGCGGTTGCAGAGTAAAATTGAGTGGCCCCTTCCAACTCCATTTTTACCGTATCACCGATTTTTTAGTCAGTGTGGAAACATTTGTCTCAAACGTTTTTGTCTTTGTTTGTGTCTGTTTGGTTCTTTTTACCTTTGAGTTTTTACCGGCAATGAAGCTAAAAACACAATTATCGAATTTCATCGAAGTCACTGGTTTCAGTCATATTTGTAGCATTCACAGCCAGATATACCACAAGGCATTGGGAATCCTCGGGAGCATTTGTGAAATCCTCGTCGACCATGTCTATAAAGAGGATAATCTTTGCATTTACCTAAGAACAACTGACTGAAAATATCATCACAAAATGGGACAATGGTAACGAAAACAATCCGCTTCTATTGTGCAGTAGCTATAAACTGCTTTTCAATGATTTGCACTGCTCAGTTTTGTATAACATTTATGGCGGGGATGTCAATCGTCAAAAAAACGGTCGCATTTCCTTCCGTGATTTGATCCTTACAATTGTGCTAACCTGAAAGGCACATTCCGGGATGAGGTGCGCTCACCTGCTCCATACCCGAAGGGTAGTAGGCACGCGGACAATAGAGTTGATGTCGCGCCCCTGTTGCCGCTTAAAGTGTGCGACAAAGGCGCAGGGAGCTCTCCCAACTAGCAACTCACACCTTTCTCTGCAACAAGCCCCACCATCCGCTGGATTGACGGACTACTTGAACCCGGTCCTTTAAGCCGCCTCAGATCCATCTCTCGTCTGCGCTCTCTCACCTTATCAGCGGCTCATGACCATTGTGATCACACACATTCAAACTTTTGCCACACTGTAGTTGGCTCACCCACCTCGAAGTCCCTCCCTCCTACAAGGCTTAGTCCTAGGGCTCTCATCCCTGGGATTTGGAGCCGAGCCAGGCGCCGTTCTCTAACTGTCTGTGCCCTCCGCCATTCGTGGCAGGACCATGGAAGAAAGTTCAAGTAGTCCGTAAACTCATCCGCTGTCGGTTGCCACGTGACGCTGCTTGAAAAACGCGGGTGCAGTTGCAACAGCGCTTTCATTGCGGTCCATTGCGGTTCAATGTCACCGGCACTGAAGCAGCTGGGGTAAGCTCGTGAAGCTCGTCCAACACGTCCCTTCTCTATCCGAAGGTGATTCGCTTATATGTGCCCTCCAAAGTGATACGAAAAGAACACTTTTGTATCCTTCAGGTGATTCAAGACATTTCGATACCGACTTCATCTACAGTGGGTCAGTTTCGCTGGAGACCCCTTCTATGCACATATAACAGCATTTTTGAACAGAAATTAAGCAGAAGTCGATTCATTTATCTATATTGTACACATGTAGGTAAGTATGCATGCATTGTTGTCCTTTCAACAACATAAAAATGAAGTTTACAGAGAACGGACTAAATATTGTTTTTCAAGGGGCAAACAGTGTGTACCTACGCCTTTTCTATGTTAGGCAACCTCCTCATTCTTAACATACAACCAAAGTACGTTGAATTTCAGTTCAGCCTCACAAGCAGAACAAGCCGAAGCAGTGTTCCAAAAAAGGAGTTGGCAAAATCGTCAAACGAGTCCCCATTATAAGTCTACCACAAAGCATTCATCAGTTTAGAGCCACTTACCGATAGAAGGCGACCGTGACAGGATCCATCTTTAACGACGTGAAGATACAGCTTGCCAGGATCCATGCCAACTTCTTCATAAGATTTCAAATGCATATAGTGCACAACCATTGGATTCGACCCGACAAACGAATATCCAAATTCAATCTGAAGCCGGTGTTTTATAACTGCGCTTTCGCACTGTGTATGGTAATAAAAACGTACAGCAGGTTCATCAAAAAGGAAGTTAACTCGAATCTTGTTAATTCTTCCGTATCCCAAGGCAAGTGGCTCTGCTTGGTCTGAAGTGATACGATAAGGAAAAAGAACTTTTCGGCTTTAGCACTAAAATTGTTTCCGTATTTGAATGTAGCTGATTGGCATTGAAATCTTCCCTATAAATGATGAATGTGAAGCTGAGAATGTAGTTCTAGGGGGTCACTCATAATATCTAATCGAAGTGACAATATCTAATCGAAGTGGAGCTGCGCGAAGGGCGGTCATATCTAATCAACATCCAGAGCACAGTCTCTGAGTATGATTAGATAGGGATACCAACCCGAGATTCCGTACAAAATCGGATACCTGAGCGGCCCTTTCTTCGAGGGCTTGCACGGCAATCGGATGAAGTTTTGGTGAAAGTGAAGAATAGCAAGTTAGCAGCGACAAGGGTAACAAGTGGTCGTAGGCCACGGTCTCAGTGAAAGATATGATAAGATATGAGTGGTTTCGCGCAGCTCTACTTCGATTAGATAGGTTGCCCCTAAACTACATTTTCACCTGTGAAGCATCTGTTTCTGCTGCAATTGTACTGCGTGGATAGTTTCAATTGACGCTCATGTTTTGAGAAATTTCATTTAAAGGACAAACTTCGGAAGAGCTTCACAGTCTCTGACACACTATAGCACAAGGTCATCCTAGGGCTGATTCAATAAGCTGGGCAAAAATTACAGTAACAAGAGCGTCCCTGCTTGCAGCTCTTCATTTTAACACGTTGGCGACATCGCGCGTTTTGGATTTTTGCACCGCGTGTCGTGCCAGGCGGATCAGTGGAGTAAGACGCATCGGCGAATCCGACGAGACACGGCAAAAACGTGGGATTCCGGTGGGTGCCCACAACACCTCTGAAGGGAAGATGCGTGCAACGAAGAATGCTTGATGACCGAAGTCCTTGATGCCTGCAGCGGGTTGACAAGAGGCCTTGCTTCCCTGTGCCCAAGGGCATAAGCGTGCTGGCGCGTGCTGATTGCCTAGTAGTGCGAAGGATGTCGATCTGCCGAGTGAACAAGAAGAGGATCCAAGATGACACGAATGGATCGACTAGGCGAAAGATAGATGGCGGCGTGTGCGCGGCGTAGACCATGTTAGACTTGACTGTTATACACCTAAATATTACACTTCTTCATATCGCCTGAATAAACACTACATAAGAATACTGTTAAACACATACTAGAAAGAATACACGAAAAGAGTCTGTACTATGTAAATCCTATTGCAATTAAGGAAAGAAGAATACTACAGTTAATAATGACTACGAAATACTATTAGAAGAATACTAATCAAATACAAGAAGGAACCTAAGGTGCTAACTCCCATAGTGAACTAACTAAGATCTAAAAGGAAGTAAGGAGTGGTAACTACTAAGGGCTATCCCGGCGAGGCGACTGAAGCTAATATTTAGGTAAAGTTATATAAGATAAAGTCAAACTAACTATTATATGGCGAGCTGGTGTCATCGCGTGAAGATGGAATAGAATAACAGCGATGAAAGTCCGATAACCGGAGAGGCGAATAGAGGGCGACCGCTCAGGATGATGCAATGGCGGCGAAGTGACGTGGCTACGGTTCGCGCGCAGTTTGAAGGCGCAGGCAACCAAGGTCCTGTGCCGATGGCGCGGAGTTTGAACCGGTATTTTGCCCTGCCTCTAACCAGCTGCCTTGGAGCACCTTTACTCGAGGTCGTGGTGCTGTCACGACACCGCGTGGGACCAGAGCGATTCTGCGAGCGCCGCCGCCGCACACCAAATCCATGGATTTTGAGCTGTAAATACGCAATACTTAGATGCGATGAAGTGTTTTCAATAATGTTCGATCTGTCTAACTTATCGGGAGTTACAGTAATGGAAGTTCGACCGAAATGACGTGTTAAGGCCATGAAAAGGCAAATTTTACTTACTTTCCCTTTAGTGGTTCCAAAATTAATTTGGACGTGGTTGTTTCAGTAAAACACATATCTTCCCATACGAATAGGTTTGTATTCGCTTCTATTATTCCTTTTTATCAACATGTTACGTTAATGAAAAGAAAACGAGGAATGAACTGAACAGACATATCCGTAAGGTCTGGAAAACCTCTGCCAAACTAAAGAATATTTGGCCTTTCTGTGAGCCATGTGGTTTTTAAGTATGCTAATGTATGGCCTATAGAATGAGTACAAAGACCTTAGGAATAAGTCGCACAAGCGCAAGAAAAAGGGATGACTTGGGTGGGACGCGTTACCGCGTCACAATGTCCCACGAGGTGCGCAAAGTGGGACGCGTTACCGCGTCACGCTGTCGTCAACGTGTTAAACCTCAAGAGATTTTGGTAGACATTCGACTATGTATATTTTGATAATCAAGTGTTCTATCTTTGATTTGGTCACATGAAATGTACAATTCTAGAATGGAAGATACATGTACGCTTGTAGCGTTTTCGAGAAACAATCAGTTTTTCACACTGACAGGCGGCTTGATTGTGCAACATTGCAAGACGATTCAGAATCCCCACGAATTTTTCGTCGACTCATCAGCTAGTTCAATAAGTCATTCACCAGCATCAGTAGCCTCAAACGTGAAGAAATTATCCTGTATTCCACGATCAAAATCTTAAAATAGAGTAAAGAAATGCTGGAATCCAACTCGATCAGTCCGCCGTTTAAGCGTGGAATTGCTATCAAACACCAAAACATCTTTAGTGAGTGGTTTACAAGCATGAAAATGTCCACTCTCAGTCGATGCGAGCAAATTAAAAGAAAAGCAAAAACGCAAATAGACGTTGACTTAATTCCTTTATGGCCTTCATTTGTTGATCGTTTCCCCTGATATGATGGGAGCTAGAATCGTGGGTTTGAAGCCACGAGTCAGCGGCCTCGCTGCCAAAAAGTAGTTCTTCCTGGAGTGGGAAAGAGAGGTCTCCAAGCGGAGGAGCGCAATATTGTTGCGACCCAAAAGTGCGAGGCAATGGTGCTGAGGCCTTGGCTTGTGTGGCTCATCGAAACGCATCCATTCACCAGGGAACCTTCGAATGCTTTCCTCCTAGAATGGGTGAAGCTATGAGCTGAAGAATTCAGCAAGGTCGTTTTTGGAGTGGTTGTTTAGTGACTTTTTTCTCTCGCCGCTGCTGCCTCAAGGCACTGTGAAGGGGTAGCCCGATGGAGTGATGCCAGGGCTATACGATGGACATGGTATCGTGGTCCAGCCAGTTTCCCTCAGAACGTAGCGAGTTATCTTTGCAATGTGAGGTCGAGCGTCTATTCGGAGAAAGGGATTTTGGGACGTTTAGGACGGTTTTCTCCCACTACTGCGGCCAACCCGGGAGCTGTTCCACGATGGCATTCGCAATACTTGTCCGCATATAGCAAAACAACTGTGAAAGCGGAAGACCCACTCAATCTAACAAATCAAAAGCAATATTCTCTGACCACGGAGTTTGGGCTTTTGTTGAGCTGGTGAGCCCTGGCTGCGAGGTAGCCATCAGGCGTGCTGCGTGTTGTTGTCGTAGTGAACTCATGACTCATCCCACTAGTGATCAACTAGGGAACGCTCTGCTTTGAGGTCACAGAATGAAATTCCCCCAGAGGGTCAGACCTGCTTCTCGGTCATGGTCGGCGCATATGGTTTCCATCAAGTCTTCATTCTGCTGCAGCCCACTTCATCCTGATGGCGTGTGCTGGTGCATCGGCTGCGCCCAGGTGTCTGCTACAATACCCTGGTAGTAGCGTCCGTGTGCACTTCCAATCCATGGCGCAAGGGGTCCTCATCGAAAGTGAGTGGAGGCCCAGGATGAGGCTGATTTTCACAGCTCGTATTGTCTTTGCCATTGCGACCGAACCTCTAGCTCAGTGACCGATCAGTAGCAGAGACTGAGCCAAACACAGCGCTGATCTTCTCTAGTGTCCTCCTTGCAACAGCGTCTATTTGAGGATCATAAAGCATAATCGTTCGTTATTGTCATTGATCTATTTCGACTTCTACTCAGTTACTCCGATGCGGGTTTGACCTTCCAAAATGTCCTGGCTAACGGTCTAGATGCACTCTTTGACATACCAACATATTTCGCAATGACACTAATTCGACTTGAAGAAATTTGAATTTGATCAAAAATCGGACAGGAATTATGGGACAACCCAATAGAACATGTAGTATCATTGACGTCGTACATATGCGTATGTGCGTGCTATATTCGACGTGAATACAGCTTACAAAGCACGCAGTTAGTCATTTAAAGGAGGAATTCACGATTAGAATGAAGGTCGAAGAAAGGGAAACTGACCTAGTTGAGGGACCCACGGACCTCCTGAGGGTGCGAACTGACGCGCAATTCGCATGGAAAAATTTGACCTCGGCGACCTATCATGCCTCTGGCGGGTCCGGCGATCTCCGCCCACCGATCATCTGATCACTCGCCGTAGTTCAATACGTGGCGAGTGATTAGATAGCTGAGAGAGCGTAGTGTTGAAGAGGGCACAGCGATGAGAGTCGCATCAATGCTCAAATCAACGGGCAAGGAAGGGGTCCCATTTCTCGGGTTCTGGGCCGTTTCTCATGGTTCTTCCTTCTTTCGTGTACCACTCACCATCCCTAGGTTAATTTGAAATGGGTTGCTTTTTCATCGTGAATTCGTCCTTTAAAGTGTGATATGTTCAGCCTCAATTGCAAAATACGCTCCTTTCTTCGGAGCGCATGAGCTGTTTTCTATAATACACAGCTGAAGTCCTTAGTCAGTATAGTTTCATACAGCCAGCTAGCTGTTTCTAAATGTGTGATTGAACAACTGTTGCACTTCACTGACCTGTATCTGTTGGAATCATTAGTTCGTGATAAAATAGAAGGTTGATGACATTTCCCTCATTTTCACACCATTTCTTTTCTGTCTTGTCGAAGCACATTCTCATCCTTAAAACATTAATACCAGGCTTGTTAGGAAGAATATGTGATGTTAGGAGGTCCTCGAAGGAAATCGTTCCCTTTTATATTGTTTATAACTCAAATATTAGTTTTCAGGGCACCTACTGTGAAACAACCTCGATACTAAAGGAACAATTAATAATAATAGCTCTTCTGTGATTGCTCTGAGGAAACTCATCTCTTCCAGGTATAAGGATATGAACTTGAGTAATTCGAGTGTTTTGACTGCACGCAAGAATTGCCCTAACGTCTTGTTCCAAACAAAATTAAAGTGCTGGTCCCCTCGTCGCGCACTTTCAGGAGAACAGCAGCTTTACCTCACTCAGACCACCGTCACACCAAAAGGATTGATCCTTACGAACCTACTGTGTTGCAGCACTAGAAAGCTGTGAAACATTTGTAGAAACTACTTTCTTACCAACCATTAAGTTAACGGCGTTTCTGGTGTTTAGCTGATTTCAAGGCAAGTGTCCCAGTGGCGTATTCTGTGTGAGCTATTGCATATGTGAAAGCATACCCACTATCTGTGTTTCTCTTGCTTATTTTCAATCTGTTCCAGTTCCTTCAGAGATGCTAAACTTCAAAAAAGTGATAAAGACGCTGCATTTCACTCACCACTCACACTTGCTTCCTATTTCGACTATGAATGACATCAAGGGAGATGTAAGTGCGTTCTTCGCCCTTACACAATACTTCTCATTCATCTGAATTTGTGAATTATCACCATAAGACCACCGTTAGGAAACGAACAATTCAATAAAATCAAAGGCAGACGTAAAAGTATTGGTAATCTATGATTCCTACTTGATCAAGTGCAACATTAAATAGCCTCCGTGGCAGACAGGAATTGTGATTCCAAGACAGCTGAGCACTCGCTTCGGTGCTTCAAGGGTGCTTATTATAGCGCTTTTGTCACTGGCTTTTATCTTTCTCTCTGTTAAAGCCCCCTATGCAGGCCATAGAAGCGAATACTAGGAGTTCAAAAAGCATTTTAAACTCGAAATCACGCCCCACATTAGCCTATCTTTACACATATTCTAGCGCCTGGCAAAACATTATTAGCTGGCCGGCCTTTTGGGCTGCCACTCGTCTAGACCACCACTACTGTGGCAGCCCTATATTGGGCGGCCATCGGCGTGAATGTGCCAATTAACCACTTTTGCCCAGAAAACACCATTTCCTAGTGGAACTCTAGCTATGTGGTGCGCAGCAGTGCGACACAATCTGTGTTTGAGTTCAACTTCACGGATTGATGTTGCGCTTCCTCGTAGTGGCCAATCTTTGTCGCTCTTCTGGCAATGTTGCCGCTTCTTAATTACCAGCACATCCAGCTCATTTCTTTCCAAGACAGAAATATTAAAGGAAAGCCACGTGATAAACTCGACTATTGGAAAGGATATTGCGAGAGAAATTGCTTGGTCCGTACCAGCATAGAGTGTCGAAGCGGGGCGCGAGCGCGCGCCGCGGCGAGTTGCGGGCGGCGATCCTACCCTTACGGGTCTGCAACCATCGACTTCGTTGCAACGATCTCCACCCACCGCAATTGATGGAGGGATCACTGTGCTCTCTCATACGGCGTGCTCCATCGTGTGTTTTCTCTGATCGCCTTCTCTCGCCGTCGTGCCGCACCTAATGTAACTGGAGGTTGAGTCCTTAATTTTAGCGTTTCCAATTATTTCTCTCCCTTCCTTTCCACTTTCAGTTCACGCCGCAGCTCAGTCAGAGCTATGAAGCCCTTTTATACACCAGTTTTATCCCGAGGCTTGTCCCTATACATTCCAAGCGGCAGTAAATTCAAGAAGAAGTAATGTTCGAGTAGGTCTCGTAACTCTTCTCCAATCATTTATTAGTAACCTTTTGCCAATACTCGGGGCTTGTACAGTATCTGAAGACATAGGAGCTTCCCAAACATTTTAGAACAAGGAATTTTCAAACTGCTTCGCAATGGCTCACGATACGAGCCGAGCACAACGATATTCATGAACTTGACCTTTTTTCAGAAGGTGAATACTAACATTTCAGAAATTTAGTTCATGGATTTGTTGAGGAAAATATTCAGGTTCACAGTCAGGTTTTTCCACATAATGTAAAACTCATTTTCTCAGGGTGATCGTATGATTCCGAACTACGTCAACGATCGAAGATCAGGGACGCTGCCGTTTTCGCCAAGGAATCGAAGATAAGGTGGGCCGGACACGTCATGCGATTTTGCGATGACCGTTGGACCAGAGCGGTTACCGACTGGATCCCTCGGGACGTCAAACGAACACCTGGACGACCGCCGGCCCGATGGTCAGACTTCTTCACGAAAGCTCTGAACGAAAGGAATGAAGGACTTCGTGTCCCTCGAGCGAGGAGGGTCCACTGGACAACTCTTGCACGCGACAGGGACGAATGGAGACGTTGCTGGCGCCCGCTCGAGCAATTCGACGATCAACGGGACGACAGGTGATACAGGTGATCGGTTATTGCATGATTATGAATTGCGGTGCGAAAACTAAAAAAAATGCTTATCAAAACCCAGAAGAAAAGCTGCTCTTGCCAAAATTGTCATACAGTTGTTATTCATGATGAGGAATCAGTTGATGATACTACGGAAATTCGCAGTCGGCAGCTTGCTCCAGAATGCAAAATTTATGCCCCTTCTAATTATGAAACGCTTTCTATTGTTGGTACGGGCGGAAGTGGTGTAGTGGCAAGTGGCACGCTTACCACGCGAGCGGTCCGGGGATCAAATCCTGGGTCGTGAGTCGCCCGGGCCAACCAAGCCTTCCATCCCTCCGGGGTCGGTTAATTGGTACCAGACTGGGAGGATAAAAACACTGACTTGTACATCGGCTGGCCCCGCAAGTCATTGTATAGGCCACATCGCATTCAAACGCCACTACGAATGTACAAATGGAAGTAGAATGCGTGCCGCATCCCAAAAAGGGATTGATCAACGGCAAATGCTTTATCCTTTATCCTTTATTTGTTTATGAGTCAAATTCGTAACGTAATCAGTTGAAATTACGCCGGTAATAAATTAAAATGGAAAGCCTATAATTAATAGCTAGCACATAATTTACGCGCATGCATACGAGTATCTTGAACCTCCAACACAACCTCTTTTAGTGTTTCCGTAAACAATAGACTAAAAAAGGTGGGTGCAGGGGGGGGGGGGGGTGAGGGGAGTGGAAGCAAAAAAAGTCGTTCTGCCCATATCGCACATAATCGAAGTAATCGTCGCACAGAGTTCCGTCGTTGAGGGAAGCTTCAAGACAAAATTTATCCTAGATGTCTTCCCATGAGCAGGGGCAGGCCCTCCTTCACTACTTTTCCCGCGTATTTAGGAAATGATGTCATTTGCCATCGTCGTCGAGCATAAGAAGGCCTATCGTAACGGCTCCAACCTGGATCCGCTACACACAATTTTTCAATTGGTAACTGGTGGGTAGCCTCCTCAGAAAAAGTAGCTGTGCAGTACTGACGTGCTGGAATGTGCAGTACCGGCAGCTAACCCCGTTTCGGATAAGTGCAATGACCCAAAATCGCGTTTGAAGTGATTTCGACAACGTGCATGAATTCCTGAAACTTTTCTACCTGAGTCGGAAAAAGGGCTAGTCATGAAATTTTGCTGAAGATTGGGACCTTTTCATGTACAGTTGGATCAAATTCTGTTCCGAAATTGGCCCAATGACATAAGTTTCAGTCTTAAATGTAGAGGGTACTGTAATTATCCGTCCTTCACCCCTACTGGAATTAAAGGATGAATTCACGATTAGAATGAAGGTCGAAGAAGGAGTAATTCACCTAGTTGAGGGACCCGCGGACCTCCTGAGGGTGCGGACTGAAGCGCAATTGGCACCGAAGGAGTTGACCTCGGCGACCTATTAAGGCTCAATCTTGGCGCGGTGGGCCAGTGCACGCCCACCGATCATCTGATCACTCGCCGCAGGTCTATACGTGGCGAGTGATTAGATAGCTGAGAGAGCGTAGTGTTGAAGAGGGCACAGCGATGAGAGTCGCATCAATGCTCAAATCAACGGGCAAGGAAGGGGTCCCATTTCTCGGGTTCTGGGCCGTTTCTTTTCCTTCTTTCTTGTACCACTCACCACCCCTAAGTAAGTTTGAAATTAGCTGCGTCCTTCACCGTGACTTACGCTTTTTGAGGAGGTTACATACTCGATATCGGTGAGTTGGGGTGGGCGTGTCACCGGAAGTGACGTGCACTTGATAGAAACTATGTGGATAAGCTGCTTCCAACATACATCGCTGGCTATCAGCAAAGCATGCTGGCAACAGCTTATCCACGCACTTCTATCAAGTGCACGTCACTTCCGGTGACACACCCACCCCAACTTTCGGATATCGAACTGTACCACTGTGACGTGTAAACTTTACCCTCGAGATGGTCTGATATGATGAAGTAATGGACCCGGGTACCCCCAGAGTTCCAGGGTTATGGACTCACCCTTTCTAGAATATACGAATTTGCAATAGCCTTGACGGTATGGCGGTAAACCCCACGAGGCCCGTCGCGCAACAAGATGGCGAGTCAGCGGACGAGTTGCGCGCGTACTGTAGGGATTTCGCGTCAAGTTAAGAATGTTCCATTGTACGTCCTACATCGCACATCACGCGCTGCGACTCGTCCGCGACTCTGCCTTCTTGCCGCGCGACGGGCCTCCTGGGGGCTACCCGTAAGTGACCATATGTATGTGTCAAATGCGTAAGTCGCAGCACTGCCATGCAAAACAAATGGAGATTGTCGTTACCAAAACAAGGCTATAGAAGTTTGCAAAGTGTTCATTGCCGCTTTGCTTGGTTGCACAGAAAACTTTTCAATGATTTTACTGAAAGTTATGGACCTACCTTTTCTAGAATATACGAATTTGCAACAGCCTTGACGGATGGAGGTGACCTGAAGTTTTGCCAAAATTACGTGCTAGGAAACTACTTCATGTGTGACAAATACTAATGGGTTTTATAATCAAGTTCAAGATCAAAAATTGGTTGAAGAAGTCGTGATAACAAGCACAATGTCAAACAAATGACTCTTACCATTCGTCTCCCGTCATAACCGGTCCAAAGGACGTAGTTGAAGGGCAACACTGATCATCGTCTGCCACCTTCTGATTGGAGATAATATCGTACATCTCCGAGCGGTTGCCACGAGTCTTGAAAGTCGATCCGGCCAGTGACCCGGAGACAACGTACGGCGAAGGCTTTGGCACAGTCCTGACCTTGTAGTAGTTGGACATATCAGTGTCCGGTCTAGAATGTTTTCTTAATTAGCGCACGAAACTGAAGAAATATTCGATAGAGAGGAGCAATCCCTCTTTAGGTCGACTCTAGGTGAACTTTGGTGAGGATCATCAGGAGCTGCTGCTTGAAGAAAACCCCACGTGGGTACATAATAGGGAGGTGAAATTTTCTAGCTCTCGTGAGCCGGTACGTTACCCTTGGACCGTGGTTATACTCAAAACAGCAATGTAGAATGTGGGCCTCATCCCACTGAACCTGAAGGAGCCCCAAAACGGCAGCGTTGGGTAGGACCGCTCGGGAGAGGCTGCTAGAATCTCAGGGCCCGGATAGGCTGCCTAAACGAAGAAGGACTAAGATGGCGATCTGTACTTTCAACGCACGAACGCTTGCATCCGAAGCTCACATCGAAGATCTGATGATGCAGGCCAGGAAGATCAAGTACGACGTCATCTGGACTGACCGAGACGAGAAGACACCAGAAGCTTGGTCATAAACGTTGATTTGCGAAAGCCTAACGATCCGAATCGGACGTTTGAGATTGAGAAGATGTGGTTCAACTCCTGCTTTGACAATCTTCGTCGCCTACGCACCAACATCCAGCTACGACGAAGAAGAACACGAAGCATTCTATATGGAATTGGAGAAGTTCTACAGGGAAGATCATACCTTCTTCAAGGTCATCGTCGGCGACTTCAACGCTAAGATTGGCCCAAGAAGAACGGCCTGAAGAACTCACAATAAGGGTGGCTTACCTAATCGGAATGGATAAGCAGGCGAAACACTGCTGGCGGAATTACCACCGTCGACCAACATTAGGGTGGTAACTCACAGTTTCAAAAGCCCCTCTCACCTTCGTTGGACTTGGGAGTCACCTGATGGACAGTTCCATAACGAGATAGACCACATCATCTTCAATCGAAGGTTTTGCCTGACCGACGTCGCTGTTGTTCCAAAGTTCTACACGGGATCGGACCATCGTCTCCTCCGCGCAAGAATTCACTTCTCGATGCGTGTTGAGAGAGCGGTAAACTCCAGAAAGCGATTTTCAGGACAGTCCCAACTCCAACAGGACAACTTCACTTCCTCTTGTCAGCTTATGGGAGGATTCCGTTATCGAAAACATCGACGAGGAATACTATCGGCTCGTTGAACATCTTCACGATTGTGGCAGGAAGGCAGAGAGTTTGAAAGTCACCAAGGGACGTCTGTCTCCGGAAACTCTCGAACTGATACGCCAGCGTGGAGCCGCACGAGCTGCAGGCAATCACCGTCGAGCTTGCGAAGCTATGCAGAGAGGCGATAAAGGAAGATCTCAAGGAGCGAAGAGCAGCAGTATTAGCTGAAGCAGCAGAGGCTGGGAGGAGCATCCGCAATGCCCGCCGAAGCTTTGCCAGCTACAAGACCAAGATGACCTGCCTCCGACGTCCGGATGGAACAGTTACTGCATCCCGAAGGGCAATGGAGAAAGTCATCCACGACTTCTACTCGGATCTCTTCGATAGCCATGTCCATCTGCCCTACTTATCAACTGCAACAGGATGGATACGTCGTCCCCTCAGTTCTCTCTTCCGAAGTCCGACACGCCATCAAGTCGGTGAAGAATCGTACAGCACCCGGTCTCGACAGGGTCAAACCGGAACATCTGAAGAACCGCCAGTTATCATCAAAACTCTGGCTCGACTCTTCACGCGCTACCTGTCGGAATGCAAGGTACCCACTCCGTGGAAAACCAGCAGGACCGTGTTGCTGTACAAGAAGGGAGACTTGGACGACATTGGCAACTATCGCCCAATCTGCCTGCTGTCTGTAATCTATAAGCTATTCACTCGAGTCATCCTTAACAGGATCGGCAGAATACTAGATGAAGGACAGCCATGCGAGCAAGCAGGGTTTCGAAGAGGGTTCGACCATATCCACACGGTTACGAGACTCATTGAAGTTTCACGAGAGTACAAGATGCCGCTTGTCTCACGTTCGTCGACTTTAACACATTGCAGCCCGCGTGCATTCCCGGGTATGCACGTCGAAACTCCCACATATGACATTTGTGCATCGCCGGTATGCAC